CCTAAACCCTAAACCCCTTAAAGGTAACCCCTAAACGCTGGCAGAGCCGGGGTTCGGAACCAAGAGCAGCTCAGGACCCCCGAGGCCCAACTCACCATCTTGGGAGATTTCTGCTATTAGGATTTAGGTTTTAGGGGTCTAAGGTTTAGGGTTTAGGGTTTATAATAAATAGCTGAGAATATTTGATATATATATATATATACAATCAATAAATAAATAAATGAATATATATATATATATATATATATGTCAGAGTACTTTTATATGGATATAGATATGGATATAGGGAGGTGTGTCTTTAATAGTTCGAAGAGTGATTAGGGTTTGGGGTTCGGGGTGTTAGACCAGTCAGTCCCTTTTTCAGGGTTTAGGGTTTAGGCCTGAGGGTGCCGTACTGTTCTTGGCTCTTGGGACCTAGGGAGGCCCCCCCAAATTGAGAGAAAGGGTTTAGGGTTTAGGGTTTAGGGTTTAGGGTTTAGGGCCTTTTTCTGAGGGTGCAATGTAGAGCCTAAATCCAGTGTTACCTGCAGGCTCTTACATTGTTCCTTATTGTGATAAAGTTATAATTTGCCCCAAAACCCAGTGCTAATTTTTAAGTCTGCTATAGTATCCCCGGGATGATGTTGTGATATGAGGCTCCTACTTGAGATTTTGAGACCAGGGAAGCTACCCAGAGACGCCATGCACTAAGGAATGGCATGAGTGCAAAGTCCTGTCTACGCTAAGGGGTTTAGGGTTTAGGGCTTCAGGTATATGAACCCATAGGGCTGTTTGATTCCCTGGGTAGACCACACCTGCAGCACTTAAAACAACCTTCATCACCCTAAACCCTAAACCCTAAACCCTAAACCCTAAACCCTAAACCCTTCACCGGCCGTCTGGACGTCTCGCCCTTCCCGTGGACCCGACGGCCTTCAAGACCCTTAAAAAGGTATATACTTCCGTATTATGGTTCCTTGAAAAGGCATATACTTCTTAGGGGTTTAGGGGTTTAGGGTTTAGGGTTTAGGGTTTAGGGTTTAGGGTTTCTGTATTATGATTCCTTAAAAAGGTAGGTCGTTTTGGCCACAGGTCGTCCCTGAAAGCCCTTCTTAAAGGACCACGAGGCTCAGTATTACCAAGTCCCAGGATGCTCCAAGTAGACCCTTGCAACCTGCAGCAAGTGCCTTTTTGCTCTCGTTCTTGGCCGATTGCAGACCAGAAGGGACAGTAGCAGTATGGAGATTGTCAGAAATCTCACATCAGACAAGCAGTGACAGTCGCGCTGAAAACGTTGACCTGTCGCCGTCCTTCAGCTGTTCAAGCCGGGCGGTTGGCCCAGGGAGAAACAGCACCATGGTGTGGACCAAGAAGGCTGTAGGCAGGGAAGGATGAAACCTTGAACGACCCTAAACCCTAAAACCCTAAACCCTAAACCCTAAAACCCTAAACCCTAAACCCTAAGCCCTAAAACCCTAAGCCCTAAAACCCTAAGCCCTAAGTAGGCAGGGAATCCGAAACAGCTTGCGCCCAGATCTTCCCAAGTCCTGATTTGGGGCTCGAGGGTTGACCCTAAGGGTCCATGTGCCCAAATAGTATATACTTTGGCCTTAAGGTAGTTCCTATATAGGTACTTTGGGGCCAATGTATATACTATATGAGTACATGGACCCTTAGGGTGAGAGATGCGCAGAAATATGAGGTACCCAGGGCAACTGATGTTTAGACAGAGATCTGAACACCCATCCGCACATCCCTGGCAAGGCACCGGCAGGGCAAATTTCCCGGTACAGTATGACCTCAGCGGCAGGGTGGAGGTTATCGTGAAGGGCTCCAAGACGCAGTTCATTGGAGACTGTGCCTTCTTCCTGTTGCGAACTTCTTGGACGAAATTTCTCTGTTGCCTGGGCCTTACAGAGTTCTCTTTGGCCTGAATTCTAAACCCATTTCCCATTTAAACCTTAAGCCCTGAAACCTAAACCCTAAACTTTGTCTTATGCCCCGGCCAGGAGCACTCATCAAGTGGATCAGATGCCATTTCTAGGGTTTAAGGAGGGTTTAGGGTTTCCTGTGACTCATCATGCTTGCCAGCAGCTAAGAAATCCCGATACTATTGTTGTTCTCCGGTTTGAACTGAAGCGTCTACTTGCTGCTGTTATCCTTGTTATAATTTTCAATGTTGACGGCTCCACTGCTGTTATTCAAGACGGTAGTAGCACTTCTAGCACCAGTCAGATTGCAATAGTGATGAGCCTTCCTGCGCATGATAAAGCCGTACGACACCCTGAAACCCTGAACCTTGCGGTGATTAAAGACCATTGAAGCTGATAACAACAGTGATACTTGGCAATAGCGATGCAGACCTCGTTCTCCCAGGTCTCGTGGGGGCGTCCCTTGTCAGCAAGTGCAGAGAACTTGTCAGACGTGATGAAGGTACGAGCACCATCATAGCTGCAATAATCATCAGAACAGTTTGTGGTAAGCAGAGTGAGGAAAATGTCATGACCTGTGGTATCAATGATACTAACAACTAACAGTAGTAATTTCGCAGGGTGCTGGGGCCAAGGGGGCCAGCCAGCTTGCGGAAAATGCAGGCCTGCAGGATGCCTACTACCCGTTTGCAGACAATTTGACTGCGTCCTTTGTTCTGCATGTTGTTGTGATAGTTGTGCAGGCATCATGTGGCTACTAGCTGCGACTAGTCTTCTCTTCAGTACGATGGCGGTCATGATGCTGATGATGACGGTGATCATGATGATGGCGTCGCTAGACTGTGCTGGGTGGTGTCCCTGGTGGTTGAGTCCTACTTGGGTCGTCGGAGCTTAGGTACTTGATCTTGATTCTGGGCTTTGCGCTGCCTGGTCAGCACCGATGCTTTTGTCCCAGCTTGTTTCACCCAGTGGTTGGCTTCACTAAAGCTCAGGCTGATTTACTTGGCCGAGGCGGATGGCATGATATGTCTAATCAAGGATGAGCCGTGTGACTTCTGGGACGCGTTGAACCTCTCCGTCCACAGCATGTCCACCATCGGCTTTGGTTCAATCGTCCCGCAGTCTGCTCTTGCACACTCAGCAGTTGCCGTGGAATTTTGGATTGCAGTTCTCATGGGTGCTGGAGCCGGAGGTCTGCTTTTCTCCCGGGTCAGCACCGCCAGCAGTCGAGTTGCTTTCTCCGACGTTGCCTTGGTGACCAACATCCGCGGCTGCCCGACAGTCACTATGCGGATAGTCAACGAGCGGCCGTTCAGCTCCCTCTTCGACGTGACGTGCCGGGTCAGTGCCCTCGTTAAGGACCCAAAAGCTGGCATGCGAATCCTGGCTCCTTGCGAGCTGGAGCGCAGCACAAACATGATGTTTCGCGCGGAGCCTGGCCTGCAATGTTTTTGTTGGTTGACATACTGCTGCTGCAGTTGTCGTTGCTGTTGCCGTTGCTGCTGCTGTCGCTGTAGCTATATGTTGCTGCCGTTGCTGTTGTTGCTGTTGCTTTTGTTGTTGTTGTTGTTGTTGTTGTTGTTGTTGTTGTTGTTGTTAGCAGCACGTGCGTCTGCCGCCTCGCGGGGTGGAGCAAATTCGGAGCAGGCATGTGCTAAAACTCGAGTTTTGGCACGTTGCTGCACCGACAACAATTTTGTGTTTTTCTTTCGCCTCGGTTTTTACGCTGTTTTCGCCAAAAAAATGCGACAATTCGGGGATGCACTGTGCAACAGAATCTGAGCTCTCCCTTTTTTGTATCGTTTCTTGCGATGTTTTCCTTTTTTTGCGCAGTTCGCATCGTTTTTGTTCCCGGTGTTTTCGTAACATTTCCGTTCAGGACTGTGCCGAGCCTCGACTTTTCCCACATGCCCGCTTGGACTTCCATGTGTATTTGA